TTTTTTTTCAAATCCTTTCCCTTTAGAACTCCGAACCTTTTGCCACTAATGTCTATACAGATACAGTACAATATTATCGAGTCTGCAACCGAGAAAAATAAGCCGGCGAACGGATCATGACATCTCCAAAAAATAATTTAATTTCCAAGTCGGAACGACGTTATTATTTCGAAGGAGTCGTATTATGCACAGCTTACTCAATAATTAGGCTTATCTTCATCTCATACGCTATTATTCCTTCGGAATATTTCAGAAGATGCGGGCGAGAATAGAGAAGATTGGACACGAGTCTGCCGAGGATCTGTACCCGATTTTCATTCCAGAATTCATGGGCCCGGGTGGCAGAGACGACGGGCCGACTCGACGGGGGGAAACTGATGACCTGTCGCAATCGTGAGTCCGTTTGGCGTTGATCTAAATAAATCTTGAAAATACGTGGATATAAGGTCGGGCAAAGTGGAAATCGAGGCCTCGAGGCATCCGATTGCGCCTCGCTTCAGCATGAATCATTGGCAGTGTGTGTTATTTCTAGCCGTGCTCTGGGTTTCGTAACAAACGAGCTCATTATTCAAACAAATCGTTCGTAATATTCCTGAAGACGACGCGTGAATCAGCAACACACGGCCCGAGTCAAAACGCGGAAGAAAATGAATGAGAGGTTGCACATTAGTTACTACACAGTGTTTAGGACTCGTTGCTGTGGAATTGATGATAGGTCGACTGTATTCTACATCATAAATTACCTCCACTATCTTGCATAGATAACTTCTTGAGATCTTGAAGCAGTTTACCCGTCAAACAACTCGAGTTGCGAATTGATGATTTTTCAAAGCATGTGTCAGGGACCCCTAGAGGTCGCCCAAAAACACAAACCAATACAACACACCACAAGCACCAAAAATCAAACAATTCACACTTCCAACTCAACAAAACCTACTACAGTTTAACCCTGAAAACCTGTCCAACGAAACTGAATCCTTCTTCCTTGCTCACAAAACGAACACCACCAAATAAGGAACTTCACTTTGTCCCGGAATCCCTCAGCAAATACTTCTTGAGTGTGTTGTGAAATCTGAAAGTGAAAATCATATTCATAACAACTTCTGCAAATTACACCGGCCGTTTCTGGAGACTTGGTCTTGGCCGCAAACGGACTATTGTGTTTTGCACTTCTTTCAATTATTTTCTTTGTCAGAATCTAAGGATCCCTGACAGCATGTGAATTCATGTTTTGATAAAATTGTATATATGCATCATATCTCACAGCTTTCGCCTGTGAGATCAATTTTTTTAATAATCATAGCGGCTAATCAAAATTTTAAATTGCGTTTGTTATATAATCCCATTCACTTGCAAACGAAAGTTCAGTAGAAGTACAATTGAAACTCATGTTACGGGTCATACATATATTTGAGAACCAAATAGATCCATCACCATCGTGAACATAGACTTTTCTTACTTTAGCTCACTTAAAATAATTTCAAAATTGTCCTAACCATCCCATTTGAAACGTCACATCAATCTCATGAAACTGTTTTTGTTCCGATGACGAAAACAAATGATATAACGTGGAACTTGAAAACAGAAGCAGAGCACGTTATAAATTATTTTTCTATCAACCAGAACACACGGTTTTCGGAAGTACGGACTATGTCACATGAGATGCAAAGCTCGTAAAATTAAAAAAAAAATGCCGCGAATGAGAAATGATTTTTTTTTGCGTTTGAGAAATTCATAAGCTTTTTGCAGCGCCTTGAAGATGCAGAAGAAGGGTGACACTTATAAACAAATTCCGAAGAATCTACTTTGCATTATTCCTGTTCTATGAATGTACGATGTACCTGCAAAACTTTTGAAAGGTCAACAGGAGGGAATGAAATGAGGTAAAGAAAAAGTGATGAAAAGTTCCGATTTTTTTCTTTGTAATGCGTTCGCAGTAATGTCATCAAAAGTTGCACTGTGGGCTATGATGAACATATTCAACGCCGAGAAGTACTCGGGAAAACTTTTGATTGAATTTTAAATCGCGGCGACACATTTCGTACGCTGCTGGTTAGTAAATACAATAGTGCCATCCTTGCCCTTCCGATGCTAAAATATTGGATGTATGACTTGGAGTTAGAAATAACTTTTACAGACTAATATTGGAACATAATTTCATCATTGTTTTGAGTTTGTCTTCGCCCAGTTAAAGCAGAACAAAAACTTAAAATATGAAAATGTACGACATCCCAGTATAAAGGAATATGAGTGACCTTTCGCCCTTTCTTGTTCCACGAATCAGGCCGTCTAAGTGCTGCGAAAAATTTCAAGCACTTGTGATGTGGAAATGTTCCTTCATGATTAAGTTTCAAATCTGGAAATCGAAGTTCATGGGGAACGAATTGACGGAACTGGATATTATTCGTACTAGTGGTACGGACTCGAAAGGTTTCCGAAAATTTGATAAGTCAGGTGTAACCGTGTAAGACTGAGAAAAAGGGTTTTCGAATCAACAAAGCTTGCTGTAAGCCCTGAAGAAAAAATATCTCTCCGTGGTTTACAGGCTTTTCATCCAGAAAGTTAGACACTTGAACTGTTCATTGCAAAAAACGGAAATACGAAAAAAGAGCCATCCCTTGCGCTTTATTCAGCTTTAAAAAAAAACAAGTTCTTCGTAAGTGCATGATGTCGAGAGGATTCACTCGAGTATTATGAGAGAGACAGGTGAAGATTCAATTATGTCTCTCCGAATGTTCATCGCGAGAAATGCATGAAGTGCGAATGAAAGAGCACTTACACGTGCAGATATACAGTACACGGAAATGCTTTCAAGCTCACATTCACATTGTACGTATATAGAACTCGAAGAAAGAGGTACATTTTGATTGAAAATGCCTGCCTTGCTTTTGTGAAAACCTCATCATTTTACAGACAATGATATACTCCTACGTTTTCACATTTATACTCGATTATATACGCTATCCCCCGCCCCCGCCCGAAAACTGCAACGAATATTCGGAAAAAACATATCTTTCTGATTTGTATAGTTGTAAGATGGCCAAACAATTTCTGGATGTTCAAAAATGCGAAAAGTCCTACTTCAATTAATGTGTAAGTTGCTGAATGCTATTCCAAAGCGAGAACTTGAAAATCTGCAAAATCTTTCTTGAAGTTTTTCTCTCCAAAATTTCAAAAAAAAAAATGCACTCTGCTTCTGCATGTTCGTTTCGAACGGTAGAATGTTTAACCCAATTCAGTTTTGGTGCTGCATATAGTGTTTCAAGTCTATAAATCCCAGGATGACTCCTTATCGCATATCCGTTTATGATACGCATACATTTTCATCATGATTCGCAGCGACGACGCGGACAGTGTCGACGCTCAGATGCGTGACCGCAGCATGAGTCTTCCGAAACGGGTCCTGGAATTGCATCCGCTTCACATGCACGTTCGCCGAAAATCGTCAGTCAGTTCGACCAGCTCGTCAGATGGCGGCAGCAATGACAATCAGCACCAGAACAACCACCACCACCACCATCACCATCACCATCAAGGACCACTTTCCAAGGCCCTGGCAGCCATCGACACCAACCTGAGGCGATTGTCTCTACATTCCTTGGAGCACTGGCGGCAACGCAACCGGTC